GCAGAGCCACCACCTCTTGCATTTAACGGTATTCAGATAAAATGAAAGGAATAAAATGGCTGGCCCACTGGGAGCACGCGTGCAAGCTGGAACCTATTCCCTTCCAAGCCAGTATCATTTTCACTCAGTCACAACCTTGAGATTGTTCTTAACCTCCTATGCCCACATATCTCCCTTGGCTGCCCAGCTTCAAGAGGAGAATACCCAACCCATGGCTCAGTGGTTCAAGCACTATGATAGCAAGTCAGAAAAATGTAGGCTTGTACACCCTCTTGCTGAGGAGACCCCTCGAACCTGGGCCTCTCATTTCCTGGGCAAGCTCCCTAACCACTAGACTATTGAGCTAAAACATAGGAAAGCTACAAAATTTAAGATTTATACTCACTCAGGTATATAGCTGTATAGATCTCCCTAGCAGGAGGGCAATTTACTGTGCGCATTCAGTAGCCTTATGGGCATTTGCACATCCACAATGCACACCCTGTAGAACTGCAAACTTTATATAACTGCCAAAAGAGCAGTTACTCAGCTGTGTAAATGCCATTTAGGCACAAAAGTGAAACAGGAGTCTGCCCTTACTGTTTGTAAAACTTTTCAAGGTGACTGCAGGGGTAAAAAATGGGACTGAGTTTTTGTTTTGTTATGAAGTACAAAGGAGGTATGAAAGGCTTTAGACATGAAGGGCAGGGGGCCTTTCCCTTGGTTATTACAAGACAAACTCAGGTCTTGTTTATCCTAGCAGGAGTTACGAAAAATGAAGGAGTATTGAAATGCTGACATCTCAAAAGCTAGACATAAAAGCTTAGTAATATTTAGTTCAATCATTTAAAACTTTGTTTACCTCTCAACTCCTATGCGTATCCAGGACCCAAAAGAAAATATGTCTTCATTATAGATCCCTCATCTCCTTCCCCCAAACAGAGGACTGACTAGAAGAAAAAACAAAGGCTGCAGTACTCTTTCAGATCTTGCCCAGGAAATCAGCTCATCCCTTTTGAATTGCCAAGCTAAAAGTGTGGACAAGAGATTGCACAATGTTCCAAAGATGTTGCTTTACAAACCTGCTAGTTTAGCTCTGTTCTGATTGGACTTCACTACAGCTCCTGAGCCCTACTAGACTCCTTGAGATAAGTTGTGGTATCTCCTAAGCACTAGGGGCAACACACAGGGAGTGCACACGGGTGCATGCGTACCCCCTGAGTGTGGCAGTGCACCCCCTACAAAAAGGGACTGCCGACACTGTCAGTGGCACCTGTGGGCAGTCGCCGCTCGCCAGCCCACCACCGCAGGTGTCTGCGGGCAGTCCACAATCCCCACTGGATGCCGCCAACGCACCAGCGGCATCTGTGGGAGCTCCCTGCTTACTGTTGCCACGCTCCTACCACCATTGCCGCACTCCCACTGCTGCTGCCATGCTCCTGCTGCCACCATGACCCCCCAGACACTGGGGGCACACATTGTTTATGCTAAGCACCATCTACTTCTGGCACTATAACAAGACCTCACTGCAGTGAACTGTACATAGCTAAGAACCTTCAATTTATTCTTGTGTGTAGAAAAACATATAAATGATCATTCCTGGGTATCTGTCTTAACATTGTCTTGAGATGAATGGGGAACTTTATGTCTTAGAGCAGATGTGGAAAGAAGGAAGTTCTTTGCAGAAAGATCTTAAGTAAAATATTTTCTTCAGTTTCTTATTAACTTTCATTTACGAAGAATAAATGCAAAAAATACTATTTCTGTACCTCCACTTATTTAAGGACATTATAATGAACTTCAGAAGTCTAGGATTTTTTAAAGTAAATTTCTAGATTTTAGGGTTGCAAAGAAAATATACAATATATAAAACTGATGCAAAGATAAATGTCCAAAAAGGCCATTTGCCTTGCTGTTTTCCAGTCCCAGTGTCCTTCTTCAGAGAGACTAAGCCTCCCCTGCCCCCATGCCTGAGTCCCTGCCTCTTCGACAAGTGAGTCAGAGTTTATCTTCCACTGATTTTCAGCCCCTCACCTAGCCAGTCCCAGTCTTCCTCCTCCATACCTAGTTCTCTACCAGTCCTTCCAGTCCCAATCTCATCACACACCTTGAATCAGTATGGGAAGATCCATCTGGGACCCCTTAGCTCACAGCTGGAGCATTCTTAACCACTTTGTGGGGGTAGTATATGCCCAATCTCAGGGCTGAGTTTATACCATACTGGTATTTGAGAGTGTCATACAGAGAGCATGAGGCAGGCTCAGCAAAGACTGAACTATCAGTGATTTTAGCTGTTAAAAACACAAAATATATCCTGAGTAAACTGATTTTTTTCAAACTATTCCAAATTTAGGCAGATTTTCACAAGGAGGGCAAAAATACAGTTCTGATGCTCAGGAGGCAACTCCCCCCACTCCCATCTCCATTAAATTGTAAGTCCCTGCTCCAAAGCATTGGGGCACAATAGTGTTTCAAAGAGATGGCTTCAGGAATGTTTTGTGATGAGAAGAACATTTTCAGTTCTCTACTGTTGGTTGAAATAAAAAGATAGAATAGAATCAGCCTTAAGCATATACTTGGCATGGGAAATTTCAGCAAAATAGTTATGTTTTAACTAAACTGAAACTATGGTCATTTAATGGGAAATACTGGACAATCTTATACCCAAGTACTATGCAGTGCTTTTGGCTTCACATGTAACTTATTATTAAACACAAAAGTTCTAACATTAAAGATCAGATGTTAGCACTGCACAAAAATGCACAAAGAAAAGAGAATCAGTTAAGATGTTCATTGCTAAGTGTAATTTTATCCACTGTACTTGTATCATAATTGATTCTCAATTATGAAGCCTCAGAAAATTGCATGGTTCTACAAGTTGTATTGAGGGGCACAACAGGATGAAGTAAGAATTCAACAACTGTCTTAATCTGGCTTTCTTTTGCCAATGGCCTTAAAGAAAGCCCTCAATGCTACTTTAACAAATATTTCTTTGTGTATTGGGTAGCAACTGAAAGTGTGGTACCTAACACAGTTCCATGGTCTGAAATAGTTAAGTCAGAGGACAAATACCTATTTCCATGTTTCTAGCCCATTGCCTGGGCATAGGTCAGTGGGTGGGTGTACACACATGCACACACATAACGCCTCAGAGGAATTATAACACACTGGTGTCTTTTGCTTGGATGCGAGAATTCCCATGTGCTGCTCTAACAGAACATGAACACCATCTTCTGCGATAGCGAAACTTCTGTTCCAACTTTCTTTTCCAGGCTTCTGTCTACTGGAAACTAACATGGAGCTTTCATTGTAAGTAGCTGATTATAATTACTTCTTTCAAGGTCCCACCCACAGATGGTGTTCAGAAAATTTATCACAATTGCTATTAAGACCCCTCAGTTGTTACCCCTCTGTGATATTAACCCTGAGCTCTGACTTTGTATTGGTGTGATATTGGGAGAAACCTCATATAAAGGTGTATAAATAGTATAACTGTTTATCATGCTTATTGCAAAAACATAATTGAACTCAATGGAGAAAATGACCTTTTAGAGTTTTAGTAGCATCTTGCTTTGTAAAAATAACTCTATCTAGCTATACTAGTTTAAGGAGGCAGAAATACTTTTTCTTATGCAGCAAGTGAGAGTGCAATAATCTGACTAAACACACTAGCACATTTTACCGTGAGATTTTAGTTACTCACTAACAGAAGCCATTACCAAGCCTCAAATGACTCTGACAACACCAGCATCAATGAGGTGTTTAGAACTGTTATGCCTAGTGGGAACAAAACACCTTTTTTGTTCCTATCTTGAAAATTAAATGCACAGTATTAGCACCATCAATGAGGTGTTTAACTTCAAAATTGCCTTCCCTGGTGAGAATGAAAACACTGCTTGTTTTCTTTTGTAAAATTAGCAGCACACTATTTCTCTCTGTGCTCTCCTATGTAAACTTCTTTAATCAACCTACAGCAATATAAATGGATGGGGAAAAGACAAGGCCCAATTTTTGCTGCTGCCTCTGCGCACCTAGGAGGAGTACTGTATAAAAGGGCTATAAGGCAGCAGTTCAAGGAGCTCCTGGGTCTAGCTGTATCCAGTGCTAGGAATTTCTGGGAAATGACAGAAACTTAGAGTGTTTATTAGGGTTACCATACATCCAAGTTTTCCCAGACATATCGTCTTTTTGGTTCCTCCTATCTCTGTCTGGGTAGTTTTCTTGAAATTTGAACAAATGTCTGGGATTTTGCTTTGCTCCACTGATGGGAGCACACATGTGGCTGGCATGCAGCCAGGTAAGTGGTGGGAGAAGCCTCAGCAGCTGGATGCAGGTAAGTCTGTGGACAGTGGGGGTTGGAGGGCCAGGGCTTGGCAACTGCCCATGTCTGTGTCCTTGTGTGTGTGTGTGTCCATGTGTGTGTGTACCTGCCTACCGACATAGGGGGAAGCTGTCTAGGTGCTGGGGCTGCAGCAGGGTGTGGGGGAGGCACCTGCCCCTCCAGCAGAGGAAGGGGAAGAGGGGCCCTTTCAGGGGTGGCAAGGAGCTGTGTAGCTGGTCTGGCAGCAGCTAGACTGGTGCCTATGCTCACAGGGGTGGGGTGGCTGGGAGACGCCGCCTGGGGGCACTTGGTGCAGTGCAGGAGGCCCAGCCCAGGGCAGGGGAGGGGGGGCACAGGCATCCCCTCCTCCTCCTTCCAGCCCGCACCAGGGCCAGACTCGCTCTGCTGTCACCTGCTCTGGCCCAGTCAGGCTGGGGGCAGCTGGGGGGCCCCTCTGGCAGGACTGGGGGGAACAGGGAGCTGCAGGTCAGGAATGAGGGGCAGCAGCAGGGCCCTGGGTGGTAGGGGACTGTAGGTTGTGAGTGAGGTGTCCCCCTGACAGGTGTCTTCTTTTTTGGAACTGGAAATATGGTAACCCTAGCATTTATACACGTGGTCTGGGAGTGGGGGCACTTTAATTAGGTGCCCAGAGCACTAATTAAAGTGCCCAGTGCATCACATATATCAGTGTCTCCATGCTGAAAAATGGCAGTGGGGGCGCTTTAACTAAAGCTCATCAAATGACCTATAGTTAAAGTGGCCCTGCCAGCATTTTTCACTCAATCAAGTCCGCTCCGACATGCTGTAACTGCAGTGTTGGAGCAGCCTTGCTGCACATATATAGGCTCCCTTAAGGGAGTTAGGTGGGCTCTGTGCCCTAGCTCTTTCCCAGCTGTCACCATACTTAAGGGACAGCCAGCGAACAATGGGATGAAATGGTCCTCCACAGTTCCACAACTGGGAAGGTACAATTTTCTTCCATTGCTACTATCTTGAACCCTAGCATCAAAGAACAAATGGATGAAATCTCACCAACTACCAGAGTTCTACATTTGAAAGTCTTTGTGTGGTAATTCAAATTATTTCACACTTAAGAGTCTTGTATTCACAAAGAATGTTTTTTCTTCTTTGGTGAACAACCTGGTACTTTAATGCAAATTATTAAATTCATTTAGGAAGCAGCTTCATTAAAATGTGGTATGAATTCACCCACAACGAAGCAGAATTGGATACATCTCCATCTCAAAGTAATTGCTGTATACACCATGCTGGTGTTCCACACCATTTTGTTGGCTACTTGTCCATTTATCTGGGCACACTCTGTTGTTAGTGTCCCCCTGGCTGGAGGTCACTTCCTGGTTTAAATGCTGGTATGCTGCATTTCCTGATTCCACATTATAGGGAGCTTCCATCTCTGTACAATATTCTTGATTATTTTGAAGACTTAACTTCACACTTCAGCATGGTACTATACAGAGAGGTTAGACATTGTTTGCCTCCGAGGAGAGGTACAGGTACATGCTCACTTGCAGTCATTCAGGACAGCTCTCTAAGTCGTGTCCAAACAAATGCTAGACAAGGACTCTCAAATGAGATGCTTAACCGCTGCTGAAATAAGGCAATGGAACTTCAGGGCATGCAGAACTGTTATGTACAGTACAGGGCTCTCTGGGAGAGCTTGCTTGGTCTGCAGCTGCCATGAGAAGTTGGATGATATGATCCTACCACTCACCCATTGACCACAACCGACCCCGAAATCCAGGATTTTGTAGAGTTGAAGAGACGCAGGACATATCCAGACCCAAAATCATGGCTTGAAGACCCCTATCCAAAACTCAGAGCCCACTTAACTCTTTCACTAAATTGCCACAAGAGTCACCCCTACCACAGACCCAGATGTCCCACTCAAAGGTGAATTAGCAACATTTTGCTATCTCCAAACTCAGCCAAGAGTGGGAGGAATGTTTGGGAATAGAATTCTAATGCCAAACAGAAAACAACGTTTCACCTCTGCTGCATCAGACTCTGCAATCTGGATAATCATCTATATTGTCCGTGTGTCTGTTTTTTGCTTTGCACCACTACACTGACAGGGAACAAGAGGTGGGGTGGAACAGAAAGAGAAGCAGAGGGATAGACTAGCTGCTGGGAGTGGTACACAACTTCCTTGGAGCTTGAAAGCACAAACTTGTTTGCATGCAACCATTTGTCTTTTTACAGTTTGTTAATGGCTGCAGATGTCCAACAGCTTCTTTTTACTCTCTCCCAACGTTCAACTTTGCATGTCATTATTGTGAATTAGAAACAATCAGAAAAGATGTCTTTACATTCAGGATTTTACATACTGCGTAATTTAATTAACCAGCATCATCCAAAAATCCAACTAATTTTATAAAAAGATCCCAATGTGCAATATTATTACAGCTTTCACTAAAACCCTACATGGTAAAATGGACAAATGAATCAGTAGAATCTTGTCACCATTACAATGACATGCAGTCATCCTGCCTGATGTCTTTTTCTATAAGACAAACATTCTTCACGGATGGCCTTCTAGATTTGAAGTATTAGCACTTAACGCTGCTTGCATTTACAGAACAGGGACCAATAAAAACTGCAGATTAAATGAGGATAATCAGAACGTGGTGGCCTTTTATTGTGCAAAATAATTCAGGGAGTAAGGAAGAAAATGTCCTTTGTTAAGTATTTATCAGTTTGGTCCTAATGATCATAACAATGTTATCAGTAATTACCTCTAGAGTGCGGGCAATAGCAGGAACTGAACACCAGATCTACAGAGCCACATCACATGCATCTTCCAATACATAACTCTTTGCTAGAGAATAGTCAGGCAGGATTCTTGGTCTAGAAAAGTAATGTGGTCAAATCACTTAAGAAGTGATTACAAGATTTGGAATACTCATTTCAAAATATAATATACCT